CAGCACGGAGACCAGGAAAAACACACATTTCCAACAAACTCAGAATAAAGTTTACAAGTCTATTTTTTCTTAAAACCTTCAACAAAGTTTACTCAATGCTAAACGTTCACATTTTAAGAAGTTATCAGGAGTGAGATACGTGAAAGTGAAAGTAGAAATTAAGATACATGAATTGTATTAATTAGAATAAGTATATATTACCATCAAAACCCTAACGTTTAGGAAATGAGTCGTTTTAGAATAGCTGAAGATCCCGTTTTACTACATTTATCAGACACTTCTGCTGTGAAAACGAAATAAAAACTTTTTTTTTGGAGAGAATTTCTAGTATTTTTCTTTCTTCTTGTCACAAAACCTTGCATGTTGGATTTGTGAAGAAAAGCAAAAGATAAACGGGAAAAAATTAATTCCAAGAGTAAATGTGTCCTTTCATCCATTTTCCTCAGCTTGCTCAGGGCCACCAGGAGCTACACTGTAAGAACTAACATGTTGAAATTACTTAACCAAGTTATATCAACTGGTTCCACTAAACCTAATTGCTTAAATGTAAAAAGTAAAATAGATTGTTGTGTTAAAAGCAAATGTATGTTACTCTTTACCACTGATGGGAAAAACGGCGTTACAAAAAAAATAGTTTTTTCAGTAACGAGTAATCTAATTAATTACAGTCTTCTTTTATCATAACGCCGTTTCTGTTACTGATAAGAAAAGGCATTCGTTACCAATTCAGCAGCGCGGTGTGTTGAAGCCGTCATCAGCTGATCGGGAGCTAAAGAGGTGGATGTTTTCATCCAAGCGCCGTGAAGAATGAGGAAGACGTGATGAATCTGCAGCTGCAGACCCGCAGAGTCGCTGCTGCAGGTGTGGATCTGCAGCCGTGCCCTTCTCGGCGTGACAGAGGGACGTCCCGGAGGTCCCCTCACCTGTTCAATGCTCAGACTTCCCGATCTTCTACCTTCCTAGATCATCCAGCTGTAACCTGTTTCTGATCATCTCTTTGGTCGCGCTGTGACACTGATGCAGACGTCAGTCTCAGACGTCATGGTGCTCAGGTGTCATTAGAACTACCTGAGTGTGTTTACCACCACTAAAAACACACAATTATGTTGAGCTGTAAAAATTTATTTATTTCAGTAATTTAACTAGACTGAGAGACAATTTAAAGGCTCGGGAACCTTTAAAGGTGTTTCTATTTGTAATTATAAATTTTAGGTGATTGGCTAAATATAGCACTTAAATATCACACAGTGGCATTTTAATAGTCTACATTAGTGTAATGTTCCTGTTTGTAGTTCCTCCTGTTAAGTACCCATTTATTTCAATTATTCCGTTTTATTAAAAAAAACATTTGGACATTAATCGTATTTTGTTCCAGTCATTAGTCATTTATATTTCAATTTTGTAGTCATTTATAGTAAATTAAGTAAGTTTAATTAAGAGGGAAACCCATTTTTCTTGCATTCTTTAATGAAAAAAGTAACGAAAGAATTATTTTTCTTTGTAATTAGTTACTTTTATAATCTTGTAACTCTGTAAGTAACTGTGTAACATTTTTGATGAACTAATCAGTAACTATAACCAATTACTTTTTAAAAGTAACATTCCCAACTCTGCTCTTTACACTTAAGTAACCAGTGACTTGGTTTAGTGAATTCAACCTTTTATGTTTTTACAGTGTATAAACCTCCAATGGACATCCTGAACAGGAGGCCAGTTCATCACAGATCAACACTTAGCTGGGATCCATTTAGAATCACATAACATAACATGCTAATTGTTTCATCTTTGAAATTACACTTATGAAACGAGGATGAGAGAATCACTCTTTGTTTAGAAACATAGACTGCAGTACCCAAATCTGACCACATGATGTCACTCTTACTTCATTCTTGCATTGTGCACCTTTAAAAATCCTGCAGACGTTTAATGAATTACATTTAGTCGTGCCTCTTTCTGTGAAGCATGTGAACAGATTGATCGTGCTTCAGCTTTGTGTTGCATCCAAAAACTCGGAGGAGAAAAAAACAGATTTGCTTAACTGCCTCAACATACTGACCTTCGGCGCACATCAAAGCCCACCAACCCAAGAGGTGTGAGCTGAAGGCTTTGCCTCGACCATTACCCTCCTGTGATCCTGACAAACCTGAAAAACTCTTTACAGGATGGCCAAACAGTGTCACAGAACTAAAAGCATGTAAGGAGAACTGAGGAACTGCTGCACAAAGCTTTTCACAATCAGCATCTGACCAGCATTCTGCTTTTCATAAAATATAATAAACTTGTGTATTGATTTTGCTTAACCAAATTCTTAACTAATTGCTTAAATGTTAACGGTAATATACATTTAATTTTGAGAACGTATAGAAATCTATATGATTCTTTATATTTAAAGATGCAATATTCATGAATTCAACAATGAAATAATCCCAAAACAGTCTAACGTTGTAATCATGTTGGAAGGAAAGTTCTACTAAAACATATTTCATTCTCAGCTGGCAGTGGGGGTTGTCAGTTTTTCTCCTTTCAAAATAGCGGAAGGAGGGACGTAGCTACTGTTCATCGTCGGGAAGTGTGAGGTTGCCATGTCTGCTGTGAGCTAACGCTGCAGAAATAGCAATTGTAAATTGAACACAGCTGGCAAAAAGCTACAGAGTTGATTTAAGAACCAAAGCCGGTAACAAGAGTGACCCAGAAGTTATTTCCTGTACCCCTAAGAAGGCTAATGTTGAGCTAGCAATGCTAACAGTGAATCTGAAGCTAATTGTTAGCTCTAAAAACATTTCAACGTACATTTTCTGTTACCAACAACTCTATCACAGTGAAATGTTTGTGTGAAGTGAATAATGAGTCAAGCGTGTCATTTTACTTCCTTAAATGTGTCATTCAGAGTTAACAGCAAGATGGCAAACAACCACTCTTCCTCTATGCTGGAAGGATATTACCGTAATAAATGTAGTAAATGCTCCCTATCATAAAATTCCCAAGAGTGCTAACACCAGATGTGACGATGTATTTATTTACTTACCAACTTGCTGAGTATGACTCGTCTTTGCTTGTCGACTAGAATCTTCTGGTGCTGATCCGTAACTGGCAGCAGCCACGAAACTCACGGAATGGGAGTGAGAACATGATCACAGGATGTCATTTTTACTTCATTCCTACATAATGCACCTTTAACAATTAGGTTTAGCGGGATCATTGACATAACTTGATGAAGTAAATTCAACATTTTATTTCTTACAGTGTATGAAATATAAAAGACCTGTCATCCATCTTTGATATTAGGCTGTTTTTAGCTATTAGCAGCAAAGAAAACGTCTCGTGTGTCAATAAATGAAATAAACTATTAATAATCCTGATAGTTGTGCACTAACCGTGTGTGCAAACTGCATTGTGGTGGTGACTGTGAGGATGTGCATGGTGCCTGTAGATATAAACATTGTTGCAGCAGAAAGAATGGGGGTGTGAGAGTGGGAGCGGGGGGAGAGGAGCTAGACGAGCCGAGGGAGACAGGGAGATGGAAGAAAAGAGCATATGGAGAGCTGTGGATGAGCATTAGGAGCCCATAAAAACAGCTCATTAAGAAGTTCAATCTGTTCATCGGAGAGAGAGAGAAGTGAGACAGAGGGAGAGAGAGGAAACCAGGGGAGCGTAGATAGCAGGGGAGGTTGGCAGGTTTTAACTGTGAACTGACAAAACTGAGAACACACACACATATATATAAACTGTAAGCATGCAGGCACGTATGTGTGAGCGTGCACACAAAACACACCTGGCTACATTAATCTTTGGAAGCAGGCCCCCAGAAATCCACCCGATCCCGCTGAAACTACGTGTGTGAGCGCCTATGTGTCTGTACGACTGCAAAATCCCCACGAGCAACCCTTAACTGTATAAACTGACTAGTTCACAACAAAATTAAAACCCCAGGATGATTCAAGGATGTGCAACTTTTGTGGCAATTATTCTCTTGGGTTGGGAAGGTGGATGGAAACGGTGAAACAGCTGATGAGCTTTTATAAAGAATAAACACTGTAAAACGGGTTTTATCACAGGATGTGTCATACTAGCAACATTTGCCTCCAAATCTCCTTTTCTCTGTTGTTTTAGTTCCTTTTTGCCTGATTTATTGTGACTTCAGAAGGCTTCCTTTGCATGACTGGGACAAAAATATGTTTAGATCTGATTTTAATCTAGAACTCGTTTAGGGTTTTTCCACTAAAGCAAGCTTGGACCGGTTCTGCCATATTGTGGAGTTGCTAATGCTAACGGTTAGCTTCTACTAGCTGAGATGTGCTCTGCTGTCTCCTGGCCACTAAATCAGCACAGTCTTCTGTGGGCTCAAGCTAAGACGGGCGGGGCCATGAATGTTTAACTGGGTGTTTCTTAATGTCATGGTGCCTTGCCTTGCGAGGACACTGTCCTTCCTTGGTCAAAGAAAACAGTTAAATGGAACAGACTTGCATCACGTGACCGCGGCTTCCACAGCGGTCACGTGATGACTCGTGACACAGGAGATAACGTTATATTTTATATGCATTAGTTTCAATATAAATATATAACCTTTTACTTTTTAAATTGTGTAAAAATGTAAGCGAGTTACTACCCGCTAGCCACTGAAGCTGCAACTACTAAGCAACTAACCAACCATAGATAACTTATTTGGATCTAAAAAAAACATTTTACATTAGTTGACTTACTTTTAAACTTGAAAATTGTCCCCGAAGTAGCTGCCGGCTTCTGATCTGAAGTTTTTTTGAAAATACCGCGGTGTATTCTGAGTAATTTTTTACCATGGCTAGGCTACAAGACACCTCCCGTATATTCTTGTTCAGCTAGCTAAACGGCTAACAAACAGAGAACACACGCCTCGGTAGAACATGAACATTGGAACACGTCTTGGCGGCTGCCAATGACGTATCTCCTAGGCAACCGGGGCGGGGCCAAGACATCAAGGCAAGGTTCCTTGGCATTGACAAACACCCCCTGTCTTTTTCTTTCAGCAGCTAATGCTGGAAACAATTTTCTCCTTGAGCGTGCATCTGAAACTCGTACTTCAAAAACATCGGGTGTTATATGTTTTGGCTTGACGATTTGGCTCTCGTTTTGAAAAATTTGGACACCCCTGCTTTGAAGTTTTATTCCTTGAATGTTATTGAGCGAGAGCCTACTTTTTCTTTATTTTTTCAAACTTGATTTTCTTAATTTCTTTTCCATTTTTTCCGGTTTGTGCAGTAAGTCTAGGCCCAAATCGTGCACAGGTGATCAAATAAAGTCGCTGGCAAAGCCAGTTGGTGATTTATAAAACTCAACTGTGTTTATAAATACAGATTCAAACGGCATTTATAAATTCAGTTGAACAAGACAGCATTCAAAAAGTGTCTCAAACTTTCTGTTTTCTTTCTTTTCCCTCAGAACCAAAGAGAACGGCTTTGAACGAGAAGGGCCCTTACACCCGGACGTCCACCCCAGCAAACGACCTTGCACCATAAGCCCCGCCCAGCGTTTCAGCCCTTCCAATGGGATCTCTTACCAGCCTAATGGCATGCCCCATCCAGGTCCACTCCCTCCGCAGCACTACAGGCTAGACGACATGGCCATCGCCCATCATTACCGTGACACGTACAGACACCCGGCCTCTAATCATCGAGAGATCCGAGAGCGAGCCAGACCCATCGGTAAGCACCTTTCTCCAGCTTCGTACAACTCAGAAAGGTAGGGGTGCAATTCATGAAAAATGTAGAATTTGAGTGACATCACACCTGTAAACTGATGTTTTGACAAGTTATCAGATTGTCTAAAAATAGGTCGTTTTTTAGTTTAGTATAACTCTGCTTTTACGTTGCCTATTGACAAAATTTAAAAACTGGGGTGTAGTTTATAATCTAAAGCTGAATTGAAACCGAAACTCAGGGAGGCGGAGTCTTGCTGCTACAGCGTCCCAAATCAGACCTGTTCAATAGACGCGGATACGCGTCCATGGACCCCAGAGGGTTAAAAGAAATGTTTTGATTCAGTAATTGTTGCTATTCTGAAATAAACTAACAAGATTATGTTTCTGGTGCCTTTGTCTATTATATAACACTGAGATGTGCAACTATAAGAACGTAAATCAGCCTTTTTTCCAGCTAAACATGTCAGATGTTTGCTGCAGGGCAAAAAGCTCTCCATTGCCACAGTGTTGCAGAATCAAAGCACGCTTTTTCTGCACACACCAACTTGTGAGGAGGCTGTAGTCAGTTTTGTCTAAATATAGAGGAGACATTTACCATGTTTCACCCCGTGATGACAAGAAGTTCAGTCATTTAGCCTCGGGGTGTGGGAGGCAAATGGGGGCTGAAGGGGGGGGGGGGGGGGGGTGCGAGAGGGTGCAAAATAAGAACGGAACAAGAGAAGATAAAGTAATGTTACATTTATCTTCCTGCTGTGTTGTAATGACGTTATTTCTGTACGTTTCCATCTGTTTGTCTGACTTTCTGCAGGAATGCATGCAGGAGCGAGGCAGGAGGAAGTGATTGACCACAGGCTGACGGACAGAGAGTGGGCCGAGGAGTGGAAGCACCTTGACCATGTAAGAAAAGTAATAACATTTTTATTACTATTCTCTAACATTCTGTCTCTGTAAGTAGAGTTAGGTTAGTTACTCAGTAAGATTAACCCAATAATGACGCTCGATTCTGCTTCACAGCTTTTATTATCTAAACCCTTTCAAGCCTGAAATAATAACAAAAATAACAACAACAATAATAATAATAATTTAATCTTCCCTTTATGATTCATCATGCTGCCTCACTGCCACCTAAGATTGACTGATTAGTGTTTGTTGTTAGCCTTAAGGGACACCTGCTGGCTTCATTATCACTTGTAAGTCGCTTTGAACAAAAGCATCTGCTAAATACATGAACATAAAAACAATGTCAACAATTAATTATTTTTATCTAGCTTTGTGTAAAAAAATATAACAATATAATAGTAAGGAATAAATAAAATTGTCTCTTTTCACCTGTAGATGCTCCACCGGAGGCAGCAGACATATATAGGACTGGAAATGGCAAGTTAATGATGAAGGCACTAATCTTATTACTCCTGGATGCCTTAAGGACTGAAATTATTTCAATTGAATTTGTGGAAAAAATATCTACAAGAGGTTACAGATCAAATATACTGAATAAGATTTAAAAATTCACAAAAATATTCGATACTTTCACAGAGAAAATTTGCTCAATGAGTCAGGTTGTAACATAAATTGGGGGCTCATCCGGGATAGGCACCCCAAGTGATAATTCAGTGATGCTCTAGAAAGGATTATTATTATACAACTCTTTGTGAATGAACAAAAAACACCTGCATGACTGTTAAATAATATGAATAAAATCAAACATTTAAGTTTTTCTAAATCAAAGCACTCGAGCTTCATCAAGTTCCTTTCCAAACTAAAAATGTTTTAGTAAAAATTAGGGAATGAGTTTCACGAAAGCCTTTTATTATTCTGCAACTTCCTAAAACTACATCTTGTGTCAAATTTGTTCTTTTTCCAGCTCCTTGTTGCTGTGATGCACTGATAATCAGCCAGTGACATATTGTGAACACAAATGTATTACTGGATGAAGTGAAGAAACACAATGTCTTCCAGGGAGGTGTGAGCTGACAACCAAATCAGTGTTTTAACAGTGAGAAAGCCTCTGCAACATGGACCTGTAATTCCACCACTGCACTTTGCAGTGACTTAGTAAAGTAACATGACAGATGTTAGCTTTTATTTAGACTTTTCCACAGCTTACACCCTTTGCTGAATTGAAACGAACCCATCCCTTGTGTCTGTGTGTAAACTCAGCACTGTGTCTGCCTTCTGTCACTCCCTTCCCAGCTGCTGAACTGTATAATGGACATGGTGGAGAAAACGAGGCGCTCTCTGACGGTGCTGCGGCGGTGTCAGGAGGCCGATCGGGAGGAGCTCAACTACTGGATCAGACGATACAGCGATGCTGAAGAGCTGAAGAAGGGTGCTGCTAGTGGGCAGTCGAGGCAGCAGAGCCCAGCGGCGCAGGAAAATGCGACACCAGGTCAGACATCATACGTAACATAAATATTAGAAAAAAATACATGGATTCAGGAGGAAAATTATGCAAAAATAATGCCATTTTCAATGTTTTAGGAAGAAATACTTGTTCATTTTGGTCCTTTTGAACTATCTATTAGAAATAGAGAGTACTATTTTACATATTAATTTATAAAACCTTTTTCATAATCTATTTCAGATTAGACACTAAGTCTGGCAGATTTTTCTGTTCTTAAAACCTGCCAGTAGTGTTTACTTTCTGCTTGGAAACAACCACGGAGTTCTATTTAGATAACTGTCAGGTCAAATTGATGATATGCAGTGGTTTGTGGAATATTGTTTCACAAATCAAAATTGAATTGTGGAGATTTGAGCCGTTTTAAATTGACAGCAATCTACTTTGTTGTCAGACTATTAGCTCTTCAATCTTAAATCTTTATTTCCCTGAAAAGAGGTCATCCATGGAGTTATTTACAACAGGAAGCATAGTAGTTATAACTTTGGCATGTAAACACATTTCAAAATGGTGCCCTCAAATAAATAATTGAAAAACAACAGTGAATGGACATGTGTTCCTCAGGGTTTGATTCTGGGCCCCTTTGATGTTTACTTCACAAATGGGTGTTTTAACCACCTTTATGATCAGAGTTAGAAAAAGGAAATGGTGTTGCACTGTACTTAATTGTAAAACCTATTTCTTTGAACTTTAACTGTTGTTAATCTTTAGTTTGTAACCAACAGAAATCCATAGAGAGCTTCTACACCGACCTGTGTCAGGCTACGTTCCTGAAGAGATCTGGAAGAAAGCCGGTGAGCATCCCTCCAATCATCTAACATGTTTGCCTCTGCAGTCTGTACAACTTGTTTCTTCTTAAACGCAATTGACCATTCTAAATTTTAAAAATGCCATATGGCAAATCTTTAACCCCCCACTCCCCACCCACCCCCCAAATGTCATCAAAACAAAGGACTTTACTGACATTAGAAAGGTAAAAAATAAACTCTTTGGTGTTCTGACATGCTTGATAAAAATCTACTTAACAGAAATAATAATAATAATTAAAAATATATAATAATAATATAATAATAATAAAAAAAATCTTTTTTGTAGCTTCGTGTAAAAAAATATAACAATATAACAGTAATGAATAAATAAAATTGCCCCTTGCCAATGGTAGATCTTCCACCAGGGGGCAGCAGACATATGTAGGACTGGAAATGGCAATTTAATGATGAAGGCACTAATCTCAATACTCTTGGATGTCGTAAGGATTGAAATAATTTGATGTGAATTTGTGAAAAAAATCTACAAGAAGTTACAGATTAAATATACTGAATAATATTTAAAAATCACAAAAAATATTAGATACTTTCACAGAGAAATTAGCTCAATGAGTCAGGTTGTAACATAAATTGGGGGCTCATCCGGGATAGGCACCCCAAGTTAGAATTCAGTGATGCTCTACAAAGGATTATTATTATACAACTCTTTGTAAATGAATAAACAAAAACACATGTGTGACTGTAATGAATCAAATCAAACATTTCTGTTTTTCAAAATAAAAGCACTTGAGCTTCATCAAGTTCCTTTTCCATTAGAAAGGTAAAAAAGAAAATCATCAATTTTCTGACATGCTTGATAAAAATCTACTTAACAGAAAAAGCTGTGGTATTGTAATTCTGCTGTGTTTTGATCATATCTCACCACAGACTTTTCAGCTTTTATATGAGAACATCTGCACTCACATCACAGCTGCCCTGACCAACCAACAGGCATTTTACCTGAGAGTCCGACACTCCAATCCACTTTGTATTCACCACCAGTGAAAGATTATATGTGCCTTTTAAACCTGTTGGAGAAAAGAAATTGTCCCTTTGCTTGACCATGCATGATGTGTGTGATACTCAGAACAAGTAATATGCATTTAAATTGAATTGAGCAACACCATCGGGACTCTGGCTGCTCTCCACTTCGCTCCTTCCCCTCGCCAGCTTTGATCGATCTTCCATCTGAGGCATTTGGTGTGTAATCACAATTCAGTGCACAAGGCGTACATCTCAAGGCACCTGGGTAATTTCCATGACTTCAGGTCTGCACAGTAGGGTAAAGACAAACTACACTAGTTTAAAACATTTTGCTCTGTCACAACAGAGAGGAAAACACGTCTGTTTTTATAGCAGTGCAGTTTTTTTTTCTGATATTGAAAACTGGTTTTGCTTTTGTAATTCAACCGTTTTATTAGACATCACGCTGTTTGTGTTTCTTGTCGGTATGAAATGAAATAGGACCTGCTATTTTTCCATTCATCTGCCTCCCTTTCAGTATTGTTTCCTTTCTCTCTTTAGTGATTTAAATGTGACCCGAGGAGAATTGCAAAATGGGATTTTTAACACAATAGAGCGCTGCCGTGAATACATCTGTTTGAAATGGGCAAAATGTTTACACTTGGTGATAAATATTCAAGCACCTTGCATGGTGTCCTGCCGCTTTCCCACTTCCGCTTACCGCGCCGGCCTCTGGGATCACAATGGAAATGCATAATTTAAATGGAAATTGACCGATTTGCATACACAATTAGTCACGTTATATGCTTGATATGAGCAAACAAAAAGCTATTCCTGTTGCTTTGATGTTGACTTGAAATTCCAGCTTTCAGTATTTATATACAAGGAAGATCAGCCTGAGTTTATTATTAGTTAATACCTGGAAGGCTTTTGATTCTTTTGACTTGATGATTCTTGGTCGTCCAGTCCACGTGTGTTTTGTGGATTTGGCAAAAGCTTGCAATCATGTCCCCCCACAGAACTCTGTGTGGGGTGTTGTGAAGATAGGAGAACCAGGATCACTACTAAGTGTTGCTTGGTTTATGTACAACCAAGGCAAGAGCTGTGTCCGCACTCCCTGGTTTATGCTTCTCCGTCAGCTCCGCAAGGGACAGACACACACGGATTGACGGAAGCGTTTTGCTCTCACACTTCTCCGTCACTTCTCCGTCTCCTGGGGAGTGTTGCAAAGCAATTGCCCGGCAGGACAACAGAGGGCGTAGCGCTGTTCTGTGGTATCCTGTCATGTATCGGTCCAAGATAGTGTGTTTATATTGTGTTTTTGTGTATATAAGAGACTTTTAACACGGACGTATTTGTCTCTCATTCTCCCACCTCTTCATGCGCTCCCCACCTCTAAACCCACGTTTCCTGTCATTTCCGTCCACAAATAAAACGCTTGCTGCGCATCTTTTCACTCCTCCAGTCACGGGGGAATTAAACGTTCATATTTTTAGAGTTTTTTTCACGAGGTATTCTTCAAGCTTCTCCGTGTCTGCCGCTAGTTATCCTCGGCTCTCTTTGCAATGGCGGCGCTGTAAACAACAGCGGCGTCCTGACCAATCACAAGCTTGCGTAATCCGTCTCATTCGACGGGTGTTTAAAAAAGTGGGCTCGACTCCGTACGTACTTGCTTGCCTGCCGGAGCCCTACGCAAGGACGGATAATGGCGTTGCGTGTCTCCGCACTGACGCAGACGGAGAAGCATAAATCAGGCTTTAGGGTTAGGGCTGGTCCTGCTGTTTGGAAACTTAAAGAGATGTCATGGAGAGGAAGATGCCTCCTTTAGGAATCTCGAGGTGATGTGGTTCTTTTAAAGAGCAAGTCACCCCCTACCAGAGTCTTACTCACTCCCACTTCCTGTTTGAAAAATGCAACAAATGCTGTTGCCTGGCAGACTGAGAGGGCGGAGCCGATAACAAACAAACACACACACACAGGCACACAACAACACTGAGACATCCTAATGTACCTGCCAACGTCATAGGGTACCTTTTAGCCAGTAGCGATGGCACATTTAAATTAAAATGCAGTGCAGAGTTTTTTCCTGATGACGACGCAACACTGACAGTTATAGGCAGAAGATTTAAATTTTAACTAAGATGCATTAAAGTGGCAAATTATTGACTACACATGTCTACAGCACGATTAGACACGCATGTATTTAGTTTATCAGGGAAACATTTTTGATTTGGGGGTGACTTGCCTGCAACTTCATGGCCTTCGGTGTGCACTAGGGTGGTCTGCAGCTGAGTGTGAGGCAGCCGATTCACATCTGGAAAAGGTGCAAATGAGACTGGGAGTGAATCTCGGCCTCAAGTGGAAGAGTTTAAGGATCTTGGAGTCTTGTTCACAAGTTATGTTGGAATGGAGAAACAGATAGAGCTACATTTCAGGACTGTCTTTGGTTCAGGACTGTCTTTGGTTTTGATGGTATTACTCCAGTATGAGTAAAGTAGGAGCTGAGTCATCATGTTCCAACTCCCATCTGAGATTTACATAAAAAACAAGAGTGAGATTCTGAATGTAAGCAGGCGAAACAAGCTTCCTTTGCAGGAGTCAGTCAGTGCGTTTACATGCAGCCAGTAACCCTTTTAAAACCCAAATATTCACAATAACCCGGTTCCGCAGGTCCTTGTAAACACCGCCAAAAACCCGGATATGCTCATAACCGGGTTTTTAAAAACCCGGTTACTACACCTGGGGTAACCCTTTTCTAACCCGAATGTTTGGTCGTGTAAACGCATATCGGGATATCCCCATCAAAGCGTGTGTTCTGCACATGCTCTGTTCGCAAGGAATCTTGGTCTTTTGAGTAGCGAGACGTCTTGTACGCGCCAGAACACCGGAAGTAAACAACAAGTTGGGAGCAACATGGCGAGTCGCGGCACAGCACCACACTTTTGGAGTGACGAAGAAACTAAAGCGCAAACAAACGCGGTCACTATCTCTTCCGAACTGGGAAACATGTTGTTGTTTTCACGGACACCGGAACAAAAAGAACCGGAAATGAGGCATATTGCGTCTGGACGTAGTCCAAACGTCCTGACGCTACCCCAACGTCCGCAGTTAAATCGGGTTATGCAAGTTAGGGGTAACTCTTTCTATTTATGCTTGTAAACGGGTTATTCTGATGAACTCAGAAACCCAAATACCGACCTTAACCCGATCATAACCCGGATATTGGCTGCATGTAAACGTACTCAGTGTTGGAGATAAGGTGAGGAGCTCTTTCATCCATGGGACCTCATAATAGAGCACTGCTCCTCCTCCTCAAAATGAGTGCACTGAGGTTGTTCAGTAATCTCCTGGTCTCCTCCCTTTGGGTACATCCCATTGGGAAAAGACCCAAAGGAAAACGCAGAACTGGGATTTTATACATTTTTGCCTCGGAACTGAATGATGAAGAACTGACATCAGATAAGCAAATCCATTATTACAGTCAGAGTAGTGGAGTTATGAAATGAGCAAGTTACTTTCATTCTGAATTTGATCATTGAATTCTTAAAGCTGCAGTAGGGTTGGAGTTTTGTTTCAGTGGAAAGCAGAGGCAGCAATCTGTTCCACGGCACAACCTTCAGACAGATAATTACTGTCAAACGAGACTTTCCAGGATTTTCTGAAAAGAACTTATTGTGTTTAAAATGTCAGCCACTCATGAAGATGAGTCAGTCCCTTTGAAAGGGCAACAAAGGATCAAAGTTGTTTATTGCCACAAAAGGCACTCATTTGCATAAATTAAACTGTAATAACTCAGTTTTGAAGGCAAATGACATGTGAGCAATGTTAACTCTTAATTGCCTGATGCATACAAATACTATAAAAATAAAACATCTACTTTTATTTAAATGTTTCTTTTTGAGCGAGATGAGCTCTCCATCTGTGTGGCTGAATTTGATTGGAAGATAAGCATTAATGAGTACACCCCACTACATTTGTCAATTTGTCAGAAAACCTTTGGTTTCCTTTCAGAACCGACATTTTCTCTCAAACTACAAAATACTCCGCAAAGAAATGCCAAGAAAGCAGAGCTGGTTTGTGGCGATGAGCGCTTCCACTTCTGGGAGGCTGGCGCCAGTTAAGTTAAGTTAAAGTCCCATTAGTTGTCACACACACAGGTGTGTGTGCGAAATTTGTTCTCCGCAGTTGACCCATCCTCTGGGGGAGCGGTGAGCTGCAGACACAGCCGCACTCAGGAACTATTTGGTGGTTTAACCCCCCCAATCCAACCCTTAATGCTGAGTGTCAAGCAGGGAGGCATCGGGTCCCATTTTTTCAAAGTCTTTGGTATGACCCGACCAGGAATCGAATCCCTGATCTCCCAGTCTCAGGGTGGACACTCTACCACTAGGCCACTGAGAAAGGTCTGAACGATATCAGTCGTGATGCATTTTTCCCAACCGTGTCCCAAGAATATCCTCGATTTTTGTTAAGTGTCCAAAAAAAACATTAATTCTGGGATGAAAACAGCTTTGTAGACTTTGATCAAGCTATGTTGTGAGAAGGTTCTTGAGGGGCAGAATGAATCCAAATGCCTATCTCGTCATGAGAACCATTGGTGTTATTGACACCTATTGATCTGGATCCCAGTAGATGGAAATGTCAAATGGTTGAAGAGGTGCGCAGGATGGGATTGAGACACAATTTTGTCTTTCCAGCAATAACCACCAGGTTGGTACATATTGTGAATAAAGCATAGCAAAACAATAACATTAACCCTCCCACTGTCCTAATGGGTGACCCCGCGAGGAAAGTTGACCGTTGAGCAGGGTTGATGGTTTATCCCTTGGGTCCATGTGCCAGGGGTGAGGAGTGAGCACCGCCTCACCCCTGCCATGCCACATGGACCTCAAGGGATAAACCACCAACCCTGCTCAACGGTCAACTTTCCTCGCGGGGTCACCCATAAAGACAGTGGGAGGGTTAAAAGGAATAAGCTTGGCCCTTGCCAAATGCAGAGCAAAAGACATGTTTACTATGAAGCCACTTGTCCCGTTAATGTGAAGAAACTTCGTATTCTTCAGTTACAGAGAACATTCAGTGCAGGATATTTAGTTTTCTTTTAATCTTGTTAAATTTGAAAATAATTACGGGGGTTTTCTATGGACGACTCATGCTGGGCCATGATGGGAGCCAGGGATGTGTATTGTTGAAATTCTGGCGATACGATACATATCACGATACAGGGGAGACGATACGATATATCACGATATATTGCAATACATCCAGTCAGACGTTACAAGCAATTCTTTTTTACTGAATTTATTGTAAGAATGCTCAATGAACAGTCCAAACTGACACGTAACATGTTTAACATGAGGTATCTGTCCATGATGGAGGGATTTACATTTCAATGGTGGAAATAAAACCCGTTGCACACTGCTGCCAACTAGCAGGTGGCAATTGAATTGCACAAAACGAAAAGAAAATACACAAATGTTTGCATGTAAATTCTTTCAAAGATTAGATACATGGCTTTTGAATGTTGATGTAATAAACGCAGGAAAAAATATCACGATATATTGCCATATCGATATTTCCGATACACGGTTTTTGAATATCGATATAATATTGCTGGAAAAAATATCACGATGTATTGCCATATCGATATTTTCTTACATCCCTAATGGGAGCCCTGACTCCTTTTGTCCCCACTGTCTTTGCAGAAGAGGCGGTGAATGAAGTGAAGCGGCAGGCCATGTCTGAGCTGCAGAAAGCAGTCTCCGAGGCGGAACGTAAAGCTCACGAGATGATCAGCAGCGAGCGCGCCAAGATGGAGCGCACAGTCGCCGAGGCGAAGCGTCAGGCAGCTGAAGATGCCCTCTCCATCATCAACCAACAGGAAGACTCCAGCGAGGTAACTGGTTTATTGCATTTTGAGGTAGGATCTTCTTTTTCAAAGGAGGTTCTGCAGGGTTTTTATTACCATATTAATAAAAGTATCCCAATATAAAATACTGCTAATTACCTGCAGCTTTGAGTATCGTATTTTCTAGTCAGAGGACAGAATCAAGAAAGCAAGGACGCGCCGGCGTTAACGGCATCGCCTTCCTCCTCCCTCTTTGTTCCAGACACAGTAGCCAGAATGTAAAGGAGGGTTGTTACTAATTCAGCAGAGAGGAAGTAGGAAAAGCAGCTCTCCTTTGCTAATGACCACCAGAGACCTTGAGGTTTAATCAGTTTAAGTGAGAGGGAAATGTGTCGCACATCTGACATTAATTGCAGGAGCGACGTTTATGAAAGAGAAGCAACCCGATGGAGGACATTTAGAGGCGGTTTATAACTTTGTTCCTCTGTTTCCTGTGAGTCTGCAGCCACTCCGACATGCTCTCCGCTGTGGTTTCCAAGATAAATGACAGGGTTGATAGTTTTTGATCCGTCTGTGGTTTGTTTTAAACGTGTAGAAGCAGATGCGCGCCTCACGATGCACAGAACACACATTGTATTTGTTAGCTACTGGCTTGAAGGGAGATCATGTGTCGGATTGCGAGTTTGATTTATAGCACGAGTTTTGTCTGTGTCTGCATGTCCATCAGAGCTGCTGGAACTGCGGTCGTAAGGCCAGTGAGACGTGCAGCGGCTGCAACACAGCTCGCTACTGCGGCTCCTTCTGCCAGCACAAGGACTGGGAGAAGCACCACCACGTGTGCGGCCAGACCCTCCAGGCCCAGCAGCAGCAGCAGCAGCAGTCTGGACAGCAGCAAGGAGGCGTTCCCGGGTCAGAGACTCCCGCTCCCATCAGCTCATCCGCCTGCACTCCGAGCAGCGGGACCGGGAGTCCGGCCGCAACCCCGCCTGCCGCTACGCCAAGGTCGTCCACGCCCAGCACCCCGTCCTCCTCCGCCATGGACGGCACACCACGCTAAGAGACTCGCACAGTGCCAAAAAGCTAACCGGGTGTAACGACCAGCTCGGCTCTCAACCCCACAAACAGCACGACTGTTTACATGTCTGCATCGCCTTGTGAGGAATCCGTGATGGCAGTGCTTGGGTCTAACGCGCAGCGCAGTGGTCGGAGGAGGACGACGAGGTTCATTATCAGGTCATATTGACTTGCCATGACTTTAAAGAAACACAAAGATATTCTTTGTTTTGAATGAATGAATTGAAAAACCGACATCCTTTTATTGTTACACTTTTGCTATTCTTGTTGTATGTTTGTCGTCGTACCTATTGTCGGTAATCTTGTTGTCATTGCAGCTTATTTTGGTTTCCCTCTGTAAATATGAAGAGACTGATCTGAGGCAGCCCCGAACCCAAGACCGTTGTGTCTTACTTCCTCTTTTAATTGGTTTTACTTTTCATCCTTAAACTAAAGTTGGTCTGGGACACGAAGATAGTCAGTTTCAGACATTTTACCTGAAAAACATGACCGGAAGCAGCACTAGAATTACCAACAATACACACGAAGATTGGTATTAGATTTAAATCCTCACAGACTGATGAATAAATGAGTTTCCTGCCTTCACAGAGAAGAGGGGATGGACTGTACCTCTGGCCCTCAGACCGCCATGAAATGGGCAGATGTGCAGCAGATTGCAAGTGGAGCCAGCTGTTCAGCCAATGTTATTTCCCCCTCACTTGTCAAAATATCCAGGTCAGTGGGCTGTGGAATACAAAAACACCCCTCAGAAGGAAGATTTCCTGGACGAGATGCAAAACTCTGCCCACCGCTCACATGAAGGATGAATTGAAAACAATCTACTTTAGCATGCTCTTCCGCTTCATGGGTATCAGAAGCAGTCTGATGAACAGGAAGTGAGGTCACCATCCTGGCTGCGAGACAGTCAGACCGCCTGGATGTAGCTGGAATCCTGCGGCGTGGAGATTCAACCCAGACGCTACCACATCTCGTTTTCCTAATTCATTTTCTGTAGAAGTCCTGATGTCCTGTGCCATCACTAATGGTTATTTATTACAAATGTGTTGGACGGTTGTGGCGACGCATTGTACCGTAACAGTCACAACTCAAAGTCCTCTCTAGCTGGTACAAAAGAGACACAAAGAGGCTTCCCTTTTTTCCCCCCAGAGCTGCTTTTCTGTTTTGTGTGTTGGTGGTAGATTCTCCGTAGTTCCATGAGTTTTATTCCCCAGAACCACCGGAAGAAAAGACACAAGCTAAATCTCAGAGCTGCTACTTGAGTCTGACCCAGATCTTTTCTGAGACCCAGCATGTTGCGTGGAATGCTAAACCTAAATGTTTTGTACAAGGGACGTACATATATGTATTTGCACTGTCAGACATTTTTTTTATTATTGTTTTGGCATGCTTCTTTTTGTTGTCTCTCTAGAGCCATAACTCATCAGATATTTAGTACGTAGTTGTAGGTTTTCCTTCTTTTTGTTCAACAGAGGAGTTAAGGGGATATAAAAGGCCTGTTTCCACTATCGAAACTTCTTGGTAATGTTTTCTAACCTTTGTGGCATGTCTCCATTTCATCTGGCCCGCTGTTTCCCGTGCCACTTCAGGGACCAATTGAGTACCTGAACATCAGTATGTTCTTGGAAATGGCCCGGTAAAGTAACTGGACAAGACTTGGTTAACTTATGCTAGGAATTTGACAAATAACCATAAAAATCAGCCGTAATTTACGCAGCTTTTTTGCCTCCTACAGAGGCGCTTCTGGTCACCGAATGTCACTTTTTACATGACACAGCTCCTGCTTCCCTGAATGGATTAAATTACAATATTCTTTAAAGTAACACAAGACAGTTTTTTTTACTTTAAGCTAGAGCTTTAACATTAAACTCAGTGATTTTTGAGTTAGAAAGTAGACCAGCTTCATATCTGACACCACTCTGCAGCCCTCTGCTGACCAAAAACCACTCTTGATAGTTTTGTGGAGCAGGTAGGTGTCCTAGGGGTTACCTGTTTAATTGCTGTTAGCTCTAATGCTAGCACTTAGCATTTTCAGTCCACCAATCTTCAATAAAAAGCACAATAAGAGGGAAAAAGAAGTTTTGTTGGCATGATGGTGGAGCCTGGAAGTAAAAGTAAGAGAGGAATGTCTTTGAAGTTGAAGCAAAGAGCTAAAACCAGAGTGAATATCAGCGCTGCCTACGCTAGTTTGAGGGTGCTAAAGAAGGCTACAAAATCATGACCTGATAGTGACCTGGCTTTGTTGCTACTAGACTTGTGGGGAACTTTTTACTTCGTGGTTTATTTTAGTATCAGTTGGCTCATGTTAGACTTAGCTTGTTGTTAGCGCCAGCACTTTCAACCAATACCATAGGGCGGAGGAGCAGAAAACTGTCTAGTGTTACTTTATTGGAACAAAATGTTTCTGATGTTATTGATGTTTGTGGACACCTTTTAGTGCTGATCAGTGACATCACTTACTGTCAAAATAGCCACGATACGCTGGCATCTTAAAGGGACCAGTCACAGCTGAGAGGTTCAAGCCATTGTACTTACCCTGTCGTTGTCCACACCTCAGAGACTTCCTGGAACTTCCATTGTGGAAACACGTCTAAAGACACCAAATTACTGTTTTTGTACTCAACATACTAAAAATCAGCATCCATGATGTTTTTCTTTGAACAGCTACAGACAGTGCATGCACATTACTGAACGTTTGTTATATATTTGGGATTCTATTTCTTTTTTTTTATTGTTTGTTTTCTAGAAAATTGCAAAACAACCAAAAAAGAAAAAAAATATGAAAAAAAAGAAAAAAATTCTTCTAAACAAAGTGATTTTTCCAAATGCAGAGGTGTAGACTCCGATTGACAGCTTTAACACTGCAAAGCACCAGGTAACACACACACACACACACACACACACACTCTTGTTCAACATCAAGATACCTAAAACAGCCAAAGACCAACACCAAGGACCAACATCCTAAATCAAAAGATGTTTAGATATTTATTCTCAAACAAGTTTGGTTTACACTGTAATGACCAAAAGTTCAATTCAGTTTTATTTTAACCCTTTGTGGTTATCAACAACTTCCATGAAACGTAACACTTAATGCAGTGAAACATTTTACTTGGAGCAATAATAATGAATGTGACATGATGACCTTTTCAACCATTTTGAAGCAGAATTCAAGCTTCATCCTGATATTTTATGTGCAGTTTTATGAAGACCAAGTTCACTTGTTTTTTTTAACATATCTGCAGTGGCCTCTAGCATACATTAATTTTATGAGGTGGTTTCTGTGAGGAAGGGGAGAACTCTGGTGCTCTTGTTTCAGGCTCAAGAAGTGAGCCAGAAGAGTGGGGTGGCAGGAGATGGCAGGATTTTGAGTCTTATTTCCTGACTTTAAAACATCTTGCCTCTGATTGGCTGACAGCAATGCGACTCTACCGCTTACTCTATTTGCTGAATGTTGATGTTTTATCTCCACAAATAACACAAGCCTGAAGGAGTTCTGCTGTGTAGGGCTAATGCTAACAGTTAGCTTCTACTAGCTGAGACATTCTCAGTTGTTTCATGAACGATAAACCAACAGCAGCCCCCCACCCCGTCGCGAGAAAAAATGGGTGAGTCCAAGAACGTAGCCACTGATAGAAAATAGATGAGGAAACACTCAAATTGGAAAATTGCCTAAAATAATCTCAAATTAACATTTATGGACTCACCCATTTTGGCTCACAACGGGGAAGGCTGTTGTTGTTTTCGCATGCAGGAAAAAGAATTGACTGAATTGGTTAGCAGGCGCTAACCGTTAGCATTAGCACCTCAACCGCATGGCAGAAGCTCGAGGCTTGAGTTATTTATTGAGATGGTGATAGAGATGAGATGTCCTAATATCAGGAAATAAGACTCCAAATCCTTCCGTCTGATGCAGCAGACTTGTCCCTGCTGATCCAGGCGCTTCTGGGCTTTTTTCTCCCTGAGCTCGACTTACAAGGCATTCATTCCTACCAGAGACCACTGAAAACGCATTGATTTCAAAGTATTCAACACCTTTATGATTCAGTGAGTTGGGCTTTTGCTTCAATAATATGTTGTAGTTTTTGTTTTAATTTTATTTTACGGAAATTATGTGTTTGGTTTCAGTTTTTGTCACAAAACAGGCTGTCACAAAATCAGTGTAAATCAAACAAACCCCTCGTATTTGCGGTGAAAGACCACTTGACACACACACACACACATATCCCAAACACCTTGGTGCTACACAGGAACGTGTTATTTAAAACTAACAATAATAAATCCTAACCTCAAGGAACAAGTGGACGCCCACAAAGTCCGGGGCATTTCGCTTTTCTAGACCTACTCTTTTCTTCCCTCTTGTATAGTTAAAACACACACCTGCATCTTTGACTTTAAAGTGTTAAAATCATCCAAATAGGTGTCTGACACCCAACTAGCAAACTTCTCAGAAGCTGTGAAAAGGCAGCAAAGCTGTTAGAACTCACTTATTTAAAAATACACAAAAAATGACGCGTGTCGCTATTTTCAGGGTGAAATCTGATCAAAACCAAGTTTATCAGTCAGCAGTCCTTAGAAAGCTCTATATTTTCTTGTCTTTTATCCCTCCTCTATCTGTTTTTGCTACAAATTCCTCGGTGGCGAACAAGTCTCACTCTACCTCTTACAGCACGATAAGAGCATCAGTGGTGGCGCTGATACTGGTCTAGTCGAAACCAAATGGGCACAAAAGAACAGGAAAATAAAAATAACCAAAAGTCGAAGCTCGTACAGCTGCAAAACCATATCACTACTTGGTAACAATGCAGACCTCATAAATAAATAAATAAACATAAACAAAGAGAAACAAGAAAATGAAAGGTTTTGTTGTGTTCCTGCGGCGTTTCGTCAACGGTCTGAACGGATCTAAATGACAAAGTGCAAATTTAAAGGAAAATCTTTTTGATTTCTACGATGAAATACAAGGATAATGTTTCTCTTGCTGTTTTTCCCTCCCTTTCTCTGTTGTGAAGACATGCTGATGTGCTTGTTGACTTGTCAGCTGGGGATTCACAAAAGGCAAACGTAAAAAAATAGAGTATATATATATATATATATATATATGTACATATATATACATATATATATATATATATATGTATATGTATATATACATATATATACATATATATATATATATGTATATGTATATATACATATACATATATATATGTATATATATGTACATATATGTATATATATACATATACATATATATATATGTATATATATATGTATATATATACATATATATATATATATATATATATATATATATATATATATATATATATATATATATACATATTTAAATGAAGGCAATGAATTTAAGCATGCCTATTTTTCAAACGGGGAATGTTATTTAATTTTCCTTGCAATTGGGACACTAGGGGGAGGGGGTGGGGGGTGATAACGTGAACAGCATCAATCGGAGGGGTTGAACTTGTGGGGGTGGGAGGGGTTTTTCCATTCTATTGTGGAAAATGTTATGTAAAAGAAAAAAAGGGGAAAAAGAGCTTGAATAAGTTGTTGTGCAATACTTTATTGATAAATAAAAACCACAGGTTAGTGGTAGGCTGACGCTAAGTGGTCTTTCCATCACTTGGAGTCGGTGTCCTCTAGAGAGCTTTCCAGTCTACTATGTCAGAACTGTGGTTTCTTGTTGACTTTTTTCTTTCTGTTTATTATTTTTTATCATTTTGGGGGGAGGGGGGTTGTAAACTATGGTCTGTCAGTCTGTGAACCTTTGCAGTATAATTCTGGTATTGTTGTTCTCTTTGCAGTGTAATAAATATGTTCATTCATGCCCAGAAACTTCTGATCTTCTTTGTGTTCTTTGCTGTTTAGCTTTAGCACAAACAACCATCATCGCAGCTTGGAAAGTGTATGCTAGGTTCGTATTTTGGTTTATAAAAGAAGATGCTGTTGACCTTCCTAACACAGGTAAAGTAACGCAGAGTCGTGACTCTAAAAAAAGGCAGTTTTTACATGATTGTTGCTTCTGGACTGTTTAATGCATCTCCACTATAATCAAACAACCACGTTCACCTGGGACTGGATTATTTCCACCTGTGCTTCTCAGGATTCAAGTTCGCTGCAGCCACAGCTCTACTGCCAGATCCCTCACACCCCTCAGTCAACAGTGTTAACACTCATGGGCCTCCATGAGCTGCATGGCTTTAGCACTGATCTCAGTGTTAGTTAGAAACTTGACCAGCTTCATAATTGACACCACTCTGCAGCCCGCTGCTGACCAAAGAGCGCACTAGATAGTTTTGTGGAGTGGGTAGGTGCCCTCGGTGCTCTCTTCCTGCTTTACGGCTGTTAGCTGTTATGCTAGCGGTTAGCATTTTCAGTTCACTGATTGTCAACAAAAAGCAAATGAAAAAGTTTACGTTTTCTGTTGGCATCATGGTGGAGCTTGGAAGTAAGTAAGAGTCGTGCCTTTGGAGGCAAAGCAGAGAGCTAAAACCAGAGTGAATGAACATCAGTGCAGCCTACTCTAAAGAGGGAGCTAAAGGAGGCTACAAAATCGCAGACTGATGGTGACCTGGCTACTGGACTTGTAAGTCATATTTTTGTCCAACAGTGTGGATGTTTTTACTTTGTGGTTTGTTTTAGTATTAGTTGGCTCTTGTTAGAATTAGCTTGTTGTTCCAATCAAATTTATATAAACAATTTCACAGTTGAAGATATCATATTTGGCATTATACTAAAAGATAAAAAAAATGAATTTCTAATTAATAATCTCATAATCATAACAACATTTTTTATACACAAATGCCGATATCTCAAAAATCCACCTACGTGGAATAATCTCAAAAATGAAATTAAACTGCTGTCGAGATCCTTAGGTAAAATGTCCACCCCCAATGCTATAAAGCTTTATAATTTCATTATGAACACTAATCTCTAACCGCATTTTGGATGACATACACAATAGACCTTGTTTGCTCTTTAACTTCCCCCTTGTAAAATTTTTATTTAAATACACATTTAATTTGTGTTTTCATGCTGTCTTACTTTCATGTTCAATTTTTGTTTTGATTTATTGTTTTATTTATTTATTTATTGTCTTCTTACTATACCAAGTTGAATTGTATCTACAAAATGCAAGTTGAGATAAACACTGACTTCGGAGCTACTCTGTAATGTCATTCTGCTAACAAATTTTGAAATGTAGTCGCTTTTGTTCGTTTTGCAAATGTTCGATAAAAGTTCTTTAAAAAAAAAAGAATTAGCTTGTTGTTAGCACTAGCTACAGCAGGCTGCTGCAGGGTTGTTTATGACAGTTGTAATTCCATATTCAACCAGTAGGGCGGGGGAGCAAAAAGAGTCAGTGGTAGTCACGTTGCTGTTATCCAGTCAGAGACCAGAAGTCCAAATATCAGGGAATAAGACTCTAAAACCTGCCTTCTTCTGCTCACATCTGCTTTGGCTCACTCCTAGTTGCTGAAACAGGAGCACCAGAGCTTTTTTCCCCCTCAGAGATCGACTCACAGGGCATCTATTTATAATAGAGAACCTGCAAATGTGTTAAATGAAAACAGTACACAGATGATGGACAGTGAGACAGGAAAAGGTTTGATGAAACGAGTTTACGGCTGGTCCAATCAAGCCTCCTAACTAACCTTTAGGCCTGACAAGACTGTAATAGACCTCAAAGAGCTGGAATCAGCAGCTCCCTTTCAAAACGAATGACAGCGAAGCCACAAAGTAGCTCGTCAGCCTTTTTATGACCCCATCGCCTATCCTTATCTCTGTGTTGGACCGCTTTGGAGCTGAAAAGGCTCAGGGATGAGTCGGACCGCTATGATATTCCCGCCACATTCTTCCACAAAGTTCATTGTGACCGGTGCTTTTCTTTCTCATCTTCTCCCCCTCATCTTCCCTTTTTTAGCTCTGAACCCTTGCTCTCTCTCTCTCTCTCTCTTTCTCTCTGTCTCTCTCTTATCAAACCAGGCAGAAGCAGACTTGAATTAAGTGCTAGTATTGGGGGGGTGCTGCTTGAAGCTGATAACAATACAAAATGGACTTTCTCAAACAGAGAAAAACAGCTGTCTCCATTATTTGAATGCTTCACCTTTCTCCGTTCCATTAATTGGCTCTTTGATCACAGGCAGAGGTGCACAGTGACTGATAAGGAGTAGGTTATTAGTAAAGTAGCCTGGAGGACCCAGAGGTGGCTGTCCGCGGCGGGCTGCAGGAGATGAGATAAAGGCGTGGTGAAGCCGATGTCAGGGAGTGCTGGTGAGCGATATGGCTGGCCCGCACACTGAGGCCCGGCTCACGGGCGCTGAAGGGAAGAGCAGGATGGCGTATGATACAGCAGCTAATTCAGGAGTAGTGATTCATCTTGTGAGGGATTTGATTTAAAGTGGTAGATCTATCCCATCCCCACCTCTCAAACCAGATTTGCTCTTTATTTCTCTTATTGGTCTAAAAATGTGGTCAGAGTTAAGCCTACGGGAGCCTGGGAGGACAAAAAATTAAGCTCAATTTCATGGAATCTGTATTTTCCCACATCCATCATTTGAACCTTTAGTGCATCACTTTCTTGTAACCCCCACCCCCGCTGCCGATTCTCCCTAACAAATACGGCCAGAGGGCACAAGCAGGGTATTTGAGCATCGGATGGTAAGAAAAGAGGCAAAGTGTTGATATTAAATTACAGAACACAAGGTTATCTAGTTCCTGCACATGGCTAGGCTTCCCTGGGCCAAGGCTAATCTGCTAATAGCGTTCACAACGAATGACGTTATTAGGGAACTAGTGTCAGGCCTTTCTCTTGTCCTCTCTCTCCTTTTTTTCTCAGACCAAAACAGAAAAGAGGGGGAAAAAACTTGAAAATGGCAACAGAGACAGGAGCCAGAGATGAATGAACCAAACTGATGGAGGAGATGAGGAATAAGTGCAGAAGTGACAAAGGCACACAGGATATGAGACTATACAATCATCTTTTTATCAGAGACTACTGGTGAAAAGTACCACAGCAAAAATGAAAGGTCAGAATGATTTATGACTGAGAGCAAATGGCTGGTCCTGCATGTAGGGAGTTGCGTCTAGAAAAACCAGTTAGACGTCCTCTTGATCTGAAGGAAAAACTGCATCTGAGTTTTTAACAAAGCCAAACCTTTGAGACTTCCTAACGTGTCAGCATCTTTCTCAGTGTCACAGTTGATGGCTGGGACTAGAACTAGTCACTAGGATGGGACCAGGGTGGTCACTAGGGGTCTGAATCACTAGTTTGATACAGTAAATTGTGATTCGATGTTTGCCGATATCTCAGTTTAAACCACTATACCACTTTGAATTGATTTGATTTAGGATCCACTGATCAATTACAAGTATTGAACACAATCATTTCCTGTGGGACTGATGCTTTCTTCACAGTGTTTTCTCACTGCTCACCATGACACCGCTAGCTTCTTTATTTAACATGTTTGGTGATGGGAAGGAATGGGTAGAAAAAGACATGTTAGCAGAACTTCAAAATAAAAGTGCATTTAGTAAATTGCTGTTCTTTTGATTCTTGCATTTTAGATTGATGACCGTATAATTACTGTATCAATGAAGATTTATGTATTGTTGCACTCTTGCTAGTCACCAGGAGAGGGCCAGGACCGCTCACCAACACCAGGATGAGATGAGGACCAGTCTCCCAGTTGAGAACAAGGATCAGGAACATGACTAGAACCAGGCAAGTCACCATGATGAGTACCAGGACCAGTTACCCAGGTCAGTCACCAAGACAAGGACTAGCACCAGTCATCAGGATGAGGACAAGCACCAGGAACATGACTAGAACCAGACTAGTTGCCAGGATGAGTACCAAGACAAGGACCAGTCACCAAGATGAGAACAAGGTAATCATGGATGAATTTTAAGCCTTTATCTGGAAAAACAACTTATTTTTTACATTGAAGGGATGGGACATAAAACATATACAACTGCCAGGCACTAGTGTTCTTTCCTTGGCTTCTATCTCCACGTTATGTACCGTTGTCTGGTTATTTTGACACCTGCAAGCACAGAAATATCAAACCTTTCTGTGACAAACATAAAAAA